CAAAATAGCCTGGCGTTCTAGGTCAAATGGGCAACTGGCTCGACGGTGGATCAACATGCAAACTGATGCTAAAACCTGAACTGACCTCTGTGGCGGGCACTATGTGCACAGGTTCCCCGAGATGAAAGGCTCTACATCTGCGACCTTCACAAATGTGTCCTATCTCCATCAAATCGATCAGATCCTGCTGGGTCAAGAATCTAGGCGTGGCATACGCATGTTGCATGATGGCATCATTTGAAGCCCCAGCAAAGAGGGCAGTGAGAATTCCTGCTGCTCCCCCTCTGGGTCTGTTTTGTTCCAGTAAGACATGGCACGCATATCCCAAATGCCGAAATTGTGGGGGTCTGGGTTTGATCACATAAATGGAAAAGAATGTGCTGCGATCCATCAAATCTCTCCATTCATGCCTAAAATCATCAATCCAGACAACTGCCTGTGGTTCCAGTCTCATGGGTCTGGGTCTGCGACAAATGCGGTGCCTGTCGTGATCAATGTACCAAGTTTGGACATAAAGATACGCATCTCCGTCAATGGTTTCTGCCATTGCCTGCTCAGAGAAGATTTGTCCCAAGTCCAATAACCATGACTCCGTGCCATCATGGGCAGGGCGCGGTCTCCTGACTCTAACATGTGGTGGCAACATCATGGGAATGTCGATTTCATGGTCTAAATCAGCTCCTTTACAGGTGGCATGAGGCGGCTGAGATTGGGATGGATTGCGTTGTGGCCAAGACTGTCCTTCATTAAGGATACGTTCAGCAATCCTTCCAGCATTTTCAACGTCGAAAAGCTCTTGAGTCTCATGAAACACACGGAGTGCGTGACTGACTTCCCATGAATTCGAAAGTGGAGGTGGTATCACTATTCGAAAGTACATGCCATGTGCAATTCGGCGCGGACCTAGGTCATGCAAATGCCAAAGGATGCGATTGCAAAAAACCAAACAGTCTTGAGGGTGCCAATCACAATATGCAGCTGTTCTGGTGATGTGAAGCAAATGTCTTCTGACCAATGTGGGGACCACTCGGTGTACTTGACGTGACACCACAGGGGCTCGGGGAGCTCCCACACAGTGTTGTCTTGTGTGCATTTCAACATCAATCAGCACTAGCTTTTCTGTCGATCCTGGTGGAATGTCAGTCACATGCTGGACAATGATTGAGTCTTCATTGGGTGCGACATCATCAGGTGCTGCTTGCAGGTGATGACAATGAGTGAGATGCTCAAATGGCTCCCCGGCCAAGATCGCAACATCATGCAAAACATGCTCAAGTGTATCCCATCGTGGACGTCCAAAAATCTGCATATGCCCCAATCTATGGATGTGAACTCCTTGACGGGCATTGGGTGAGCTGGCAAGACTAGGGGATGGTACAAGGGAACCATCCTCATCGTCATGTGCTTCTGGCGCATCATTCTGGTCTTGTTGGGGGAGATCTGGGTCTCCATTATCTGCATGATCTGGTGCTGAGTCGGATACCTGCCGGTCATGGGAGGAGTTGGCCATGCTGACATTTTGATCTGACACACGGGTGTGCACAGCAACCGTAAAAGAATCTCCATCTTGCATGTCATGGACTGGCGCCATGGTGTAGGGCAGTCTCACATGACCATGTCGGATTATGCATTGGTGGACATTACACTCATGTGTAGACTCAGCGCTCTGTACAACTTGATAGCCACTAACAGCTTCTGGTAAGGACACTGCCACGGCATGGTGCGCACGTTGGGCCCTGTCATCACGCTGTAAAATGGTGACCAAGCCTCCTCTTCTCGGTGCTGTCAACCCTTGTGTGAGGATGATATCAAACATGAAACCTTCAGGCGGCAATGCTGTTCGCGGTGGATCAGGGTGGACAATGTCGAAAATGACCTGCTCGTCAGGTGAAATACGATCCCTCCAAGCACTAGTAATGTCATTGAACCAGTGTCGCCAATGACCATTGATCTCAATCACCCTATATTGAAAGCATTGCGGAACATGATAATGGTGCACATACCATGAACGCAAGAAAACACTCTCATGGATCCTTGGGCCTTCCACAACACCTTCTGACAGCATCGCATCAAACAGATACTGAACAGACTCAGGAGCCTCGTGAAGGAAATGGTTGGCATCTTCTGTGTCTTCTACATCCCTTTCTCCAGTGTTCGTGTGTTGTGTGGGCCATCGCGAGGGAACATTGTAAAATTCATCTGTTGTGCGATATTGGAATGATGGCGAACTGGAATGAGCATCACGACACTTCCGTCCAGACCATGGTTTGTCTCCCCAGGTAAAGAGTGTGTCATGTTGCATGGTTGTGCTACCCATAACTAATTCATCATCTAAACCAATATGAATCTGTACTTGATCCAGGAATTGCACACGCTTCTGACGGAGAGCAGGGCCATCTGTCATGCGAACGCAGCTCTTCAACGTCTGCCTGCCTGCGACGATCATAAATCCTGGCTCATCATGAATCTTCGATCTATGGAGCATCACCTGGGAAACCTGGGTTGCTACAACATGAGATCTTTGACATGATGTGGAAGTCGGTGATGCTTGACATGATTCCTTTCCTATGAGGGCAGAATCGGAACGTAAGTCATCATTGCCATAGTATGTTCTGTTGAGATATTCCAATTGCTCATGAAAACTTTCACACAAAACATTCCATCGCAAACCACATGCGGAACGAATTGCAGCAAAAACATGGCTGTCGGAAGAAATCTCATTGATGTATTGATGCCAGCTGGGATTGATATCATGGAGAAATGGATGCGGCTCCCAAGGGCATGCTGCACATGTGCCTGGCTTGCACACGTAGGCATCAGCTCCAGGGACACCATCATTGGCGCCATGCAAGCTATTGCAATGAACTAGCAGTGCACCGCCTTCATTCACGACTGTGGCACTTCGCCTCCATGCGAGGCCAAGGAGCCACCACCACTTGCGAAAGGTTCCATGGATCGAGGGCGCTTTTGCCGGGCTTGATCTTTCTGTGCATTCTCGTCCATCTCTTCGGCGGCACCCTGAGAGGTCGATGGCACTGTCAAGTCCACGCCCAAGGAGGCTGCACAACTTCTGAGAGTATTCTGTAATTGTTGCTGCACAGATTCCTCTTCGTTGTCTGCCTCTCCAGTCAAATCTTCTGTCTCCGCAGTGATGGCTGCTATTGGCGGCATTGCAGCCAGAGTGGCTGGTGTAGCTTTTGCAGAGAGAGTTTGGATCGCGCTTCGGGCGCTCTCTATGTCTGCTCTTGCTTTTGTTGCTACTTCTTGAAAGGAAGATTGCTGCTGGCGGTACTCGTGCAGCTGTCCTTCCCACGTCTTTGCTGCTTCTGCCACATGTTTCGTCCACCTGGCCCTGTGCACTCGCTTTGCTTCCAGTGTCTCGGTAAGCGTTTTCTGCGCTTTGCCAAGGGCCTTGGTAGCCGAGTGTAAATTTTTTGTTGTAGCCTTCGTGAACTCTTTCTCCAACCGCTCGATCTCTGCCTCCAACTTGACAATAAGATCTTTGGTCTCTGATGGCATCAATGCTTGATCTGTGTAGGCCGCACGTAGAGCACCTAACACTTCTCTCCTTTGGGCAATTGTCTCTGTCACCTGTGCTGCGGAAATTGGCGCCACTGTTGGCATTGGGGCATTGGTGCTGCTCTCCAATGGTGGCCAAGGTGGCATTTCTGGAGCTAGGGCTGCAAAGGGCGAAGGGCTCGGATTGGATCCCGTCATTTCCTTGCCAGCACCTTTTCCTGATTTTCCTTTTCCCTTCCCTTTGTTCTTGCTCTTTCGACCTTTGGTCGGATGCGGTTCTGATCTGTTGCTTCTGCTGCTTGCTTGTGAGTGGGATCTCGCCTGAGACCTGTCTTTCGTCCACTGCCAAGCTTCTTGCGGATCTCCCCAATTGTCGTCCCAATCCTGAGACCATTCGTCCCAATCTTGCCAGCGTGTTGCATCGCCCTGATGGCTTGCAGACTGCTTTGGTTGGGTGTTGTGACGAGTTCCACTCGTCCAGTGTGCATTGCATACTGCACACTTCATAGCCGTCTTTTTGTTGATCCGTTGGCAACGACCGCATCGCCATGGCCAGAGCTCGTGTTGTTCTATTTGTAAATCCATCTTCTTGATGAAATGTCGATCTTTGGAATGGTGTGCTGCTAGAATTCTCTTCAATCTGATGAGGGCCGAGGCTGACAAGGTCAATACACCTGTACGATGCAAGAACCAAGCTCTCCGGGCCCCTTGTCTCAAGCGTCGAGCTCGACGCCTCTGCGTTCCAGTGAGGAGCGGAATCTCGAAGAAGATCAAATCCCACAATCAAAATCAGGAACAAGAGCAAGAAAGAGCACATAAATTGTTGAAATTGTAAACCAAAGCCAAAATAACAGTACCAGGGTTATGCCAGTTCAGTACTGTATCAGGTAAGGTATGTCAGCGGAATCCACAGGGTGCCAGGGCAAAAAACCAGTTCAGCACGTAGTGAAAAACACCCAAAGTAAATTAATATCCCAAATTTCCACTGTCCGGTTGTCGGCCACCGCAGAGCCAGTGTAGAGCACCCTCAATCGGTTGTCGGCCACCGCAGAGCCAGGAAATAAGAAATGTGTATGCTGTGCCAAAGTGAATAGACAGGTAAAAATGGAAGTCCCAATAGGTGCAGGGCCAAGGGAAATTCAACCTTGACCGTCCAATGAAATCCAAATGTCCACACCAGGCACGAGGTCTGCAAACGACCCGCGGGCACACGGGCTGTCTTGCCCGCTTAGGCTATGGCGCCAAGAAAACCCCTTATACGATGCTTGAGCCAAAATGGCTACGGATATGTATATATATATATGTGTGTGTATGTGTGTGTGTGTGATTTTTATCTTTATTTACAATATGTCTTTATTAAAAATAAAAATGATATTGGTTAATGATATTGGCTCATGGATGGTGAATAATGGATGGAAGGTTTCAAATCCTAAGGGCTTTGATTCGAAATGCTTTGAAAAGGCGGCGGTTCGAAGCGGTACCTTTCGTGGCTTCACCACAGCTTCAACCGTGGCTTCAACGGTAGACTCAGGCGCTTCCTGTGGCAACAGGGAATGCAATCAGGAAAAAAGGGGAAAAAACATTGGATTTTTTTTACGGGAATTAAAGCATATGTTTCTTTATCGGGAAACATACGCACAATGGACGAAGATGGCGATTGAACTCTTTGACATTGGGGATATCTCATGGGACTTTAATATAAACTTCGTCGGAAATAGCCATGTCATGGGAATAATTATAATATATATATATATATATAGTTTAATGATTTAACAACTGAAAATGGTAGTTGAATACTGTTTCATGGGATATGTCATGGGAATATCCCATGGGTTATACAACTAAGCAACACGGATCTAATGCGGTAAACCCAACAAAGTGTCGTGCCAGTCTGTCTATCTCTCACCAGTCAGTTGTCGGCATCTCATAAAGCGAAATCGCATGCATCTCACGTACATCATTGTGGCAAATGAAGGCCAAACGATCCATTACAACTTCCTTCTTCAGTCGCAAATATTTAAAAGGGAACTTCAAATTTCTCAGGAAAAGGTCTACAAGACTTCTAGTGGAAAACTATTTTTATCCTGCTTGAAATGTTGCCATTTTTGCCAGGGAATTTCGCTCAAAATTTCACTCCAGCGTCCCAAGCCCGAAGCCTCCAGCACTTCTGGCACCGGTGGACACACTGGAAAAGGTGGAGCCGGGGCGCTGGTGAAGCGAGTGTGTCGAGCGTCCTCCAGGCCCCACACCTCCTTCCACAAACCTTGGCTGAAGTTGGTTCCCCATTAAAGAAATGGGACCAATTGGGCCCCAAAAAAGGCAACAGCACTGGTGTTTCTGGCGGGATGCATCATTCTCCAAATCATTGAATTGGAAGGGAAAACTTACAGGAAACCCAATGTTTCGTGGGAAATATCTTGAATCATCCCCTCCAAGCAACGCTCTTTCTTGGGACTGACCACCACGCTCTGAGAATGATGAACGCCATCCTCAGCCAACACGGAAGTCAGCAACTTCATCTCGGCCTCGTTCAAGTGCTCCATGTTCCAGTCAAGGTCACCCTGGGCCAACATCCCAAGCGTCAAAGAAATAGAAGCCGCATTGAAATAGCGGTTTAAAACTGCCAAAAACTGCAACCCCTGATAGTTGCCTATGGAAACATTTCAAAGAGTCATCCCTCAGGCTTGGATATGACAAACCCAACTGTGGCAGTAACAAAAAAACTAAACTAACGCTAAGCAGGTTCTCGCTCGGGTGCCGTGCTATGGCCTGTTGACTTGACAACATTTACTTTCTTCATCAATCCTTCGGCCCCGGCAAAACTATCTCAATCATACCACACACGCCATCATCACCAACTCCCGCAGAGCTAATGCAGTATTTGAAGACCAACAATGTTACGAGTCGTTACGAGTTCTCTTTTCGCCACCGGGGCGAGACTTTGGAGACATGAGCTTCGAAATCCTTGATTCAGAATTCAGCTACGGGTTTTTTTAATTCTGTACCCATCAATGAGGAAAAATGAATTTCACTAAATCACTAAATGGCCCGACTCCAACGGATACCCAACCGCAGCCCTTCAAACCCCTGCCCTCTGCCGCCAAGGCCACTGTGTTCTTGCGATTTAGCGCTGCCAAGGGAGGAAGCCGAACCTTTGGTGCCATGATCAGCCTCTTCTTCCTCGCCTTCCTAACTGCCGCTGCCCCCTCTGGGACCGCTCCCTCTGGGACAGTTGCTGGCGGCGCTGCCGCACACGGAAGCATGGTGGCATCGCGTGGCGTCTGCGGTTCTGCTGTGGCAAGTGCCGAGTCAACCACCTCCGTGCTGCCGATCTTCGGCAGCGGGACAGGGGCGTCGGCCACTTTAACCCCTTCACTTGCTTGACTGGGCCGCTTCCCAGCATCGGCAGTGTGGCTCCCAGCCAACTGTGGCAACTCACTCCGTTCCGCCTCCGGATGCAGGTCCTCCAGCTGCGGGTCCTCCGGCTGAGGGTCCTCCAGCTGTGGGTCGTCCGGTTGTGCGTCCTCCTGCATCGCAAAGGCGCCGAGCGCTGGCAAGGCCGTTGACACTGTGCTGGTGCCTGCGTCGCCACCGCATTCCGATGTGTCTTGCTCTGGTGCCCCTTCCTGTTGGTGCGAGGAAAAGATGAGAAAAGTGGACAATGTGGTCAAAGGTTGCGGCCCAGCAACCGAAACCAAAAAAGACTCACAAGGAAATTTCGTCCAACCTGTTTCAATGATGGGAAAATGATTTTCGAAATACTTCAACAACTCATAATGGTCACAACCCGATTGATCCGATTGGCACCGTCAGCTGCCAGCACCAGAGCCTCTTCAGCAGGGCCCTCCGCCGTTGCCGACACAGCCTCCAACGTCTCCAGCGTCTCGGACGCCTCCGCGGCACTTGCCGTGGCATCCTCGGCGTCCTCGGCAGGCGCCGCATCCTGGGGCACGGCCTGGCAAAGAACCAATGGCGAAACACCCATGGAAAATAGCATGAAAAGAAACCGACGTGATTCTATCCACCATAGAATTGTGATAATCCAGCACTAACCCAGGGGTAAACTGAGTGAGATTTTCTGGGGTTGAGGCCACAGGGGGGTGGTTGACAAAAGCTAACTTGCAGAGAACCACAAAGGTAACGTGGTGAAGATAGGAAGCAGTGGAAAAGGATGAAGCTGAGCGCGCCTGCTCAGTTGGCACCTCCGTCTCAGCTGCCTCAACCTCTTCAGATTCCCTGGGCGCCCAAGGGATTTTGCCACTGGGAATTGGAGGTATTTCCAGGATTTCCAAGATCCAGCACCTAATCCTTCAGGAGGTGGGTCTAAGATCATGAAGTTAGGATGCAAAGCCTTACAAACCCCTATAGCTCCACCCCTTTTGTGAGATTTGGCGCACCGGACGCTCTTTGAGCAACATGGAACGTCCATCGGAAAAAGCTCATAAATAATCCGACAAGACATGTTTTGCCACACCCACAAACAAGCACACCTCACCTTATACGTTTAGGTTTACCTTTTTTTCCCCTATAGGCCCACAACAACCACCGCAAAGCAAACTCTACACTATGGACAAGTAAGACAAACCACCAGCTGGTTTCTGTACAGTTCAGCGCGCCTTCCCAGAGGGCCCGAAGCGGTGCCGAAAGCCGAGACTTGAAGCTTCAACATGTCCTGCTGAGGACCTTGTCATGGTTTTTCCTCTCAAATGTAAGGTTTTCCCGTAGATTGTCCGTTCGACCACTGGTGGGACACACAAAAGCCGAACCCTACCATAGCCACACCATTCTGCTGACCCATCCCCCAGAGGGTTGAGGGCGTTTTGGCTTGTGCTTTCTCACGGGATTACTGTTGGGGAGATACACCTGAATCAAAATGGTTAAAGCATGTTAAAGCCATGTGACTCGCATTTCACAGTGAGCTGCTCACTTCTCACAATGACATTAGCACTGAACCAAGCGACGGACTAATGCGTAAACAGTATGCCCTACAGTGAACCTCCAATTTCGAGTGGTTTACAAAACCAGATCTATGGTTAGTCATTAATCATTAATAGCCGCTAGCCCTTGGGGGTGATTCATTCTTGTTGACCAAAGTCTGCTAACCGGCCATCCCAAAAGAAGATGCTAGGGATGTCCTCATAGATGGAGCCCACCATTTGCAACACGTCTTTCTGTTGCTCACTTTCGACACTTTCCGCGCGCGCAGTTTCCTCAGTTTGCAAACAAATGCCATCCAGGTCCGTTGATATCCATGGATCAGCTGGTAGAGGTCATTCGGCCTCTCTTTGAATCGGATTTCCACAACCGACTGAGGACACCAGAAGAATTCAGTGGCACCCTGAAAGCCTGAAACTTTCACCCCAATGAAAGCACCCCCCCAAACCTTGGCAGACTGGAGGGCTTCTCTCATCTTTGCAATTTCGCCTGGCCGGGATGTGACGGATGTGATCACCAGCCCAAAACACCCTGGCAGCAGCGACCTTGCAGGTCATGGAGCAAAGAGACTGACAACTCGTCAGCCGAAAAACGAGCTTCTCGAATGTACCTGGGTGGGGTCTGTCCGATGGCCTGCAAAAACATTCAAGGACCCAGTTTACGGCAATCAAAGAATGAGGAACTGGAATGGTTTCTGGTGTTATATAAATCGCATGAAATTCTGTAATGTGGTATAAACAATTTCCAAATGGCTGAATTATGATTGCTTTACCCACACTATGAAATATATGTTTCTCGGTCACCGAACTGATGTCCTCAATCACTTGATGGAATGGGGCACGAAATCCTGGCACGATACCTCCAACGTTTAAGCAAGCGGCTGCAACATGTCCTCGTCATCGCTAATTTTAGACTTCAAGGTCATCAACAAACCTGGGTGCCGTGGCAGTGAATGACAAAAATGCGCGCATGGTTGGTGATGTGATGTTGTTACTTTTGATAAACAATTTACAACCTAGGGGCATGATATGGAGGTTTCCTAAAATGGAGGTCCCCCAAATCATCTAAAACTAGACCATTTTAGTATTGAAACCCATGGTTTTGGAAATCCACTGGCCAAACTTTGCGTTTTTTGCCATACCTCGCCCTAGCGCCATGTCCAAGGCCCAAACTTACGCAGTTCTGTGCGGACGACACCGCTGTCGCGATCAGAGATTCGTCCTGTGAAAAGCTGAAGAGGCGAAAAAGGGGGCATCTTTTGGTAGGTCTAAAGTTTCTCTCTCTCTCTCTCGGGGGCGTTTTTTTTATTCTTTGTTTTATGGGCCTTCACAGATTCAGAGTTTGAAAGCCCCGCATCTTGTATGATGTCACTCCATGACCATGCCATGACCCTGCCATGACCCTGCCATGACCTTGGTTCCCAGCATTGACCAAGCGCACTCCTTGTAGCTCTTGGCCAGGGTTTCCAACTTGGCAACCTGCAAAGGTTTGCCAAGGTTTTGCGGGATGCCATCACCAGTAGCTAACCAAACATGTGGAGGTCATCTGACCACATCATCCCCAGGGGCACACCCAATTTCACCGCTATGGGGACGGTTTATGATTGGTTTCACGGCATCACACCCATTTCAAAGTCCAAAAGTCGATGGTTGGGGGCCTTGATGTCAGGGTTTACCTGATAAACCATCACGGTAAGCAACCAGACTTTGGTCATCGAACATATAATCCCAATTGCGGGCACAACCCATTTCACAAGCCCTGAATTCGGGATGGCGATTTTGTTAGCATGTGTATTTTGCATTGATGAAACCCAAAAAAATGGAAAAGTAATTTGCCACCATTTTTCAATCGGATTTTGCTAAGTTCTGCCTTTTGGGGTGGTGTTATATCTATACTTCAAGTAATCAACTATGGCTGGCTGGGATGCGAAAAGCATCGAACTTAATGGAGGTTTTTTCCAGCAAATCATGTTTGATTACCGCGGGAATAATTTACATTCCATTGTTTGCTGCCATGTATCGGCATTAAATCCCATGAATGATGTTATACAATAGGCCTGGCTGTGCAGGAATCCCACGGATGTCAACGTGCTGTTGGCCGCGTGATACTCCACCTTCCATCGGGCTGATCCCCGCGCGAGGATGTGATAACTCGATTTGTTTGAAAATGGTGTATAGTAAGCTCGGATCAGATGGACAAGTGGCTCAGGTAAAATCAGAAAATTCACCGTCCAACTGGGAGGTACCCAAGATTAAACAAAGCCAAATGTTGATCAAGGCTGGCACTTGGAAATCCCAAGTTTTGGCAAACCTCAGTGATCCACCTACATCTCCACACTCCCTAACATTTCACTCGGATGGCTGCCATTTCGCGATTCTATAAATAGCTTATATACATCGAAAAATATTAAATAAAGAAATAAATACATTAAAAAATGAAGACATAAAGATAGATAGATAGATAGATAGACAGACAGATAGATAGATAGATAGATAGACAGGTTAGATTAGATTAGATTAGATTTCGGCAGCCTTTCTTAGCCACGCAATTATTCCATCATTCTTTAGCTCCGATTTTTTTCTGGGCCACAAACGCAAACTTAGCTACGTAAGACTTTTACCAACGTACTGTTGCGTAATTTTCATGTTTTACTTCCTTCTCATTTTTTACTTCCTTCTGGCACGTCATCGTCGTAGGATGCTTGAGGGCCTGTGCAATCCGGTAGGGCACGGCCACGTGTAAACACGAGGTGAAAATCATCTGACCGGATGAAAGGCCACAAGACTTTCAAGCCGCCAGGACTGAGATGCAACTCCTGGTCCAGGTCGGCGTGTTTAAGCCTGCAGTAGTCTTCCAGCTCCTGTACCTCATAGCACATCGAAGAACAACGAAATGACCCAAGCTGGCTTGATTGCCCACGTGAATGGATACCTCTTCATTCTAAATCTACGATTGCCTCTCAAACTTGGCGTAGGGTAAATAACGGTCTTCATTCTTCTCTTGTCTCACCGGATTGCTTCGTCAATATCATGTATGATGAAAGGAAGTTTAGAAGTCAATCTTCAAAAAATGATGAATTATAGCAGAAGAAGTTTTGTTTTCAAAGTAAAAAATGATTTTCAAAGCTAAGGTGTTCATTGTTTGTGGCTAAACCTATTATTTACGTGGCTAAAAAAAAAGCTTTTCCAGGGCTAAAGATTTTTTCGAGGCTAAAAATCGGTCCCTGGATTAGACTAGACTAGACTAGATTAGATTAGATTAGATAGATAAGATAAGATAGGTAAAATAAGATAAGGTAAGATAAGAAAGGGTAAGGTAAGATAAGATACTTAAATAGATAGATAGATAGATCGATAGAAAGATGATAGGTGGATAGATAGATGAAATATATCATAATATATGCATATATATGTATATATATATATGTAAATGAATATAAATTAAAGAAATATAGATATATATAGATATGTGGAAGTATGGAAATAATGGTCTTTATATATATACACATAACATGTGTCTAGCACATAAATATATATATAACATGTGTCTAGTATATAAAATACATTTATGTAGATCTCTATCTATTTGTGCCACGCTCAGCGGCAGCTGTTGTTTTCCAGCAGGAACACAGGGGCCCGCTTGCACAAAGTGACGGTGCCGATACGGCTGTCGCGTACAAAAGCACATGCGTTCATGCGCAGCCCAAATGCAACTGCAGTTTCGACCAGTCGGCGTTTGAATGCATCTTGTTTCACAGCCCCCAAGACTTTTTTTGGTCGAAACTCATCTCTTGTGGCCAAATGAAAAGTGTCCTTAGAACTTATACTGTAGGTAGGACCAGGTAGAAACATCTTCAGTGAAGCAACATGGATCCTCACCGTAGCTACGGTTCGACCACCACGGCCTCAAGGACCTCAACGACCTCTTCCTTTGCCGCTTCTTCGAGCAGTCGCTGCGCTTCCAACTCTTTTTCTTCAGCTTTCCTGCGCTCCTGCTGTTCTGCCACGTTTTCCTGTAAGGTTGTCCTCGGTGACACGGCGAAATAAACCGACCCTGGAGAAAAGTCTGCTAGAAGAATTCGAACTTGCACCCCCTCTTTTTCATCATATATCATACATCCTACGAATATCCATTCGATTAATGTATCCCAGTTTATCACCGTTATATGCCCTCTTTTGGGCAATTGATCCCTGTCTTCCTGTCATCAAGTTGGATCCCACCCACATCAAGACCTGCCAAGAACATCTTCCAGACCCAGCCAGAAAAAAAACGCAGCAAGGAACACCGTGTCGCCCTGTTTTTGGTGGAGGCGCGTCCCTGTCACAAGGCCACAAGTGGAGATACTCATCTGAACCAATCATCCCAAGCATGGATGAAAAAGCAGAAGCATCACTGAAACCACCAACTACAAAATAAGTGTCCCAAATTTTGGATGGGTCTCTCTCTGTATCGAATCCCGGTGCGCATGTCTTGTGAATCATGTCTGCCAAACTGATGAGTTTTCATGTCACCCTGTCACCCTCCCGAATTGTACATGATCAATTTCTGGAGGAATAACCTCTTCCATCCCTTCCAGCCGCTGCGGCGCCTTCCACAACGGATTGAACCAACAATTTCCTTTGGTGGATATCCTTCATATGGCTTTGACCCTGCCTTGGTCAGATCAACCCAAAAAATATTTAACAATCTGTGATCAGCTGAAGGGAAACTGGGGGAAACGAACATGTTTTGACCAGTTTTGGAACATTTTACGGGTTCGAACTTGAGACTAAAACATCCCATTCCAGACCTTAGAAGCCTTCGAACGGTGGAACTGAAACTCTTCGGCACATATTACTGGTCCACCTTTCAGCTCTCAGCGAACTGCCCATCCCAGCAAAATCGAGCCAATATGGTTAATGAAATCCGTTCTAACCCCATATATTGTTTAACAAAATCTGGCATCCCATGATACCCTCATCGACCTTGAATAAAAAAAACGTTCGGTGAAGCTGGTCAAGATGCAAGTAAGACCTCGCATGCATGAAGATATTTCGCTTGGCCGCCACCGTCATCCGGGGTCCTCCAGCCGTGCCGATGGACCGATGGACGTGCCGTTCGAGAGATGGGATTCGTGGACTATGGTCATCCGTCCCATGCTAGACATGCTAGGGGAATCCATTTTTAATGGGTGTGTACGTGTACGTGTGTGTGTATACATATATATATACACACACACCAGCACACAAACAAACAAACAAACAAACAAACAAACAAACAAACAAAACAAACAAACAAAACAAAACAAAACAAACAAAAAAACAAACAAACAAACAAACAAACAAAAACAAAACAAAACAAAACCAAACAAACAAACAAACAGACAAACAGACAGACAGACAAAGAGATAGATAGATATCTCTGTGTGTGTGTCCATCCATCCATCCATCCATCCATCAATCTATGGACTAATTGATTGCCCAGTCAGTGATTGAATCTACTCAGACTCTTTTCACCACACCCAAACTTTCGACAGAAAGAGTGCCTGCACTTTGCAGGACATCGGGCACCAAGGTGGTGATGGAAGGAGTTGCCACTTGCGACTGTCTCCGTTTGGACCTGAATAAAAAACCGGGAACCCATCCGGAATGGTGAACGTTTTGCCATGAATCAGCTGGTTTGTCCTGAAAAATGTGGTACATGTCGGAAATTTAAAAGAAAATTCTGACCTCGATTGTCCCCAGCAAATGGGATTGAATGGCCATGTTTCAGGTGGTTAACTCCACAAATATCCCATTGCGAATCAATATTGTCCTTTTACGGTAAAAATCAGGGCCGACTGGGTAAATTGAAATTATCATCTACCTCAAAAAGCTTGTTTTTATGTGGTGAACCCTCTTTTTCATCAACCAACCAATGGGAAAAGCACATCTACCCTCCGATACCTTGGCTCCCAGGCCCTACTGTGCGGCCCTGTACAGCAGCAGTTGCTGAACGAAAGCGCGTGCCTGGGCACAGAACTTGACACGTCTGCGGATTTTCCAAAACAACTATAGTTGTAGTGTCTGATTTACAGTTATAGTATGTTATAGTCATAGTTGTAGTCGGGGGCATAGTTGTAGCTGTTTTCCAAAAAACGGAGAAAAACAACTTACCACTGTACCTAAAAGTGACTACAAGTATGATTATGGCTGGAAACGGAAAGGTAATACCACGACTACAGTCTGCAGTCAGAAAAATAATTCACCACTAGAACTATATATATAAGTATGACATAACTATGTATCCATGTCTATGACTATAACTATAACTGTGTCCGACTATAACCACTACTATGACTTAAGGACTTTTGATTCTACGTCGATCCTTTTCCATACTTGTCTTTGTGTTTCTATCTTTTTGTTTTGGGACGTGCTATATTGGATGGCTGGTTCCAAGTTTGAAAAGTAGTCAGAATTCGCCACAGTAAGTTAAATAGTTGGATAATGGTTTTCTATCTTACCCCATGTTTGACCCCAGTTTCCTTTTTTGAGGGGTTGCGATTATAGATATATATATATATTATATATTATAATATATATATATATATATAATATTGAATCCGGAAATGGACGGGAAAAAACATTGTATACTCCTGTGTAGATGATTCACCCTTTGAATTCCTGGCCCAGGGGTCCCCTTGTGATATTTCCTTCATGTTGAGATTGTTCAAAACTCCTTGCCATACCTGAACTACGAATCAACCATCGCATGGGTGAGGACAAATGAGTACATGAACTTGCTGGTACTTGCTGACCCCCCTCCCCCACACTAGAAAAAAAGTTACAGAGTTGTGTGCAACATTGACATCGCAATGCAAACCTGAAGTTTCAGGGTTTGAACCTGAAAACTGCCGTTGAGTTTGCGTTCAAAACACATGGGGCGGATAACAGAAAAGGATGGGTAGGCCCAGTCTTGACAAAGGCTCAGACCTGCAACCTCCCGTTACTCTGGGCAAACATGTTTGGTTTGCGAACACGGATCCAGCGAACACGTGAGAATCGCATGAAGCCAGGAATCGTTGCCGAGCCTTGTTGCTTGCCTACTGGTATGTGTGTGTGTGTGTTGGTGAAATCTACTATTTTTAGTCAGTTCAATCTTATTTTTGGCTGGCAGAAAATCATCCCAGCCACCGTGGTTCTATCCCAGGGCCATTCACTGCCAACACCAGTTGCGCCAAGCCACTGGCAGATGGAGGCATTTCAACTACACCCAAAACCTGTGAAGCTGTGGGAAAGTTGACCTGTGAAGAGTGAAGATGATCGAAGATGGCCAGCCCCCTACACAAACTCCTGAGTTCTGACGCGTTGACTTCATCTTTTTTTTATCACGTCTATCCACGTCTATCCACGTCTATCCGCACTACAGATTGCGCCACAACCAGCAAGGGCAGCCATCATGTTTAGCACTTCCTGTGGCACTTGGTGATCGCATCCAGGTGCATGGAATTGGGGAGCCAACAAAATTCAGCTGCAATTTGGCACCATTTGGTCCAGTTCGCCATGCAACAACTTGGGATTTCATGTCAAATCTTGATTTGTACGGTGCATTCCAAGTATCAAGCAAGGGAGTATGGCTACCCAACTTGGCCCAACTTCGATAAACCGAGCCCATTAGATACCCTGTAGACCACTAAGTTGTAGTATAATGTAGTATATCTATAATCAATGGTGGTTAAAAACTATGGGGGGCACCACCTTGTACTTCCAACTGCCCTTTCTCTGACCTCAGTGGTCCACTAGTCTGCGCCGACCAATCATGCCGGCGTACCAGGGCCACCCCCCGGAAGCGGGGGCTGTTGAGCCAAATGGCAGGGAAACAGCGTGGTCCAACTGCCATGGAAAGGTCTAGCAAACCATGGTAAATTCTAAACATCTCTAAACTCTAAACCTCCCAATTGGGGGTGGTTTTTACGACCCATTTCTGGATTGGGGATGGTTCTACAACATTACCCCCACAATCAAAATTGCCAAGTCAAATTGCTAGATTTGTCCCAAAAACTGCCGTGATCCAGGGAAGAGTTTCATCGACGGGCTGTCAGCACTGGCACAAACTGTTGGATCTCCCAGGCCCGGCAGACCGCGGCCCGCACCCGATCCAGAAAAATCTCGGCCACCATCACACCTTGCGGCTCAAACTTTCGGGCAGTTCCAGTGGATTTTTGTTTGGCAAAGCAAAACCAAAGTTCGGCTACCTATCCTCTGGTAAACTAACAAAAAATTGTGGAAATCCATGGGTTTCCCTGGGAAATTGATCTACAAAAGGTGGATTTTCCATATCTAGGTTCATTTATTGGAAGGTATATCCCCACTTGTCAAGCATGAAGCAACTGAGATGCCCGGACCGTGGGAGGTTTCGATGTGGCAGGTTGGATTCGCCATGGAATGGCTGTCCACTCGCGGCGGCACTGGCATAGGAGGAGGCTTTTGAGTGGGTCTGTTCAGTTTGTTCCCAGATCTTCTTCCACTTCAGCTGGCACTGTCCGAGGATATAGTGTTGACAAGTTGACAAGTTTGCTGCCTAGCTCAGTCTGGCGAAACACCAAAAGATCCATGTGAAGAATGTCAATGCTGGAACAAGTTGGCAGCCTTGGCAGCTCCGTTGCAAACTGGATCTGTTGGAATCATCGATCCACAAAGGTTGCCCTGACAGCTACAGCCAAGATGCGGGCACCATGCCCAGGCTAACAGGCGCCCCACACATGCCAAGCGAACTGATGCCCTTCTGGGACTCAGAGTCACCCAAGCTTCAATCTTTAGACAAGTCTTCCATTTTTTCTAAGCGCAGCACACGGCCATTTTTCGGGCCTCCTCCATTTGGAGGAAGCCCGGCCGAGATCTCATTAGATCGAGCTATTGTGCGACAGCATCTGGTAGAACTCATCAAAGGTGATCTGCAGAGGGGGCTCCAGGGAAGCCATACTGAATCATGAGGAATCAACCGACCCCCAAATGGTGAAGCCCTTCAACAATCGATGGTTAGTAAGTAAGCCCTTACTAATTGGTGTGTATATCTATCTATATGTGTGTTGTACCAACCATACATGACTGGAATGTTGGAAGGAATGGATGTGTCAGAACATCTCGGAATCTGGAAGGTGCCATTCTGTCACCCGTTGATTGCCACTTTTGGGTTGTCGAAATGGGACCATATGCATGCAGACCCACAGGCAAACCCCTAGTTTTGAGGACTTCAACACAATGAAGGCTGCTGCTCTACGTTACAAGTTACTGCCGGTGCACCTCGCCACTGCCATTTCCGTCACAGTATGCCACCTGCGGGGTGCAGGTGAAAGTTCGCGAACTTTCCACACATCTGTTGGTCGGCTGTTTCAAAAACCATATCATGCCGGGGATCATCATCATTGAAGTAGGGATGAACATAAAACATTTTAAAGAAACCACCAAGCGGATCTGGTTTGGTTAGAAAAACGTATCCCCAGTTATGGTTGGTAGACCCCTATAGATTTATATGATTTATAATTTATAATCAAACATTCAACGGATTGGTTTGAAATAAAACCTACACCAGCAGTTTCCCCAGTTTTCTGCAGCCAATGTCCCATGGTTTCCCATAAATCGTCCGACATCAAACCGTCGTAGGATCTTGCAAATTTTGATGCTTCATCATCGATGGTTCACCTTTGAAATGATTGTTTGATAGATACGTGCCTCATTTTCAAAGACGTGCGAATATCACTTTGTTGATTATACATATCATATTATATCCGGTCTATTATACTCCCATGAAAACAACCACCAAATAAACTGAGTACCAAACATAAATAAGGGGTCCCCAAAAACATGCCTGGAAAAAAAAAATGATGTGCCCCCTATACTTTCGAGGTATCCAACTTTTGTATCGATCTTTGGGGGCCGCTAGATCCACCATGGTTTCTGCTGAGGTAGTGGGACTACCCTGTTACCCACTGTTCCATCTGTTGGTCACTGTTTTTTTATGTACTTGAGCTCCCGCTATCTTAAGTTGCTTGAATGTGTCTGTTTCGCGCAATGTTGTGACTCTTTCTACCACTCAGTTTTGTATACATACTTGGGTTCCATCTACTTTAATTTACTTGGATATCTCCGTTTTGAGGGATGTTTTGACTCTTTTGACAATTTCCTTTGGCATGCTTGAGCTCCAAAAATTTTGATTGCTCGGATATGTGTCTTGACTCATTTGACCATTGCATTTACACACACACACATACATAAGTGACTGCATGATCGAATACAGTACTCTTGCTGCACGAAGCAAATGCTCAAATGAGCCACGAGGTCCCAAAGCATCAAAGGCCCACCACGAAACTTTCGTTCTTGCACTCGGAAAACAGGGTGCTGAGCATTCGCTGCTGCAACCACCGCTGGAACGTAGTATCCCTTGACCCAGTGTGACCGCTGAAACAACACCGCATACCGCATACCACCTTCAACTGCTTTCGCACTCAGATAGTGTTGAAGCTCTACACTGTACACAGCGAGATTGTTGACAATGGCTTGTGTGTAGACAATGTCATCTACCAAGGTCACATCTACATACCTACGTATGTACGATGCAGCCTTCGCTTACCCTGAAGGCGGTTGAACCTCCATGCGAGGCTTGAGATGAAACATAATAACAACGTGGACATATGTATAATTTTCGTGCCCATGTTCAACAAATGTTGTTGCATGTCAAGCAAATTGCGATCCTCTGAATAAATCACAATAGAGGCACCATAACTTCACGAAGTGCTCTGAAATCAGAATCTTCCAAAATCACTTTTGGAAAAAAATGTTCCTATGATTTGGAAAAAACTCCGCAAATATCTGCGTTAATGAAAACCTTTTTGGCTTCTTTGTCAGGCTTGGCGTTTTGTTGTTCTGATGTGTTTCTCGGTTTTTGTTCTTCTGATTCCATTCTTGGTAAAACATTCCGCGAAACAGACAGGTTGAAGAGACGTGGAGCTCAAGTATGCAAAACACTGGTCTGAAGAGTCAAAACATCCCGCAAAACAGCAAAGAAGAGACCTCCAAGCAACTTGAAACAGCTGGAGATCAAGTATACAAGATGCAGGGATTAAAAGAGTCAAAACATTCTCAAAACAGACACGGACATATTCAAGCAACTTAAAATAGCTGGAGCTCAAATACATAGAACGCAGTGGTCGTCAAGTGGTCAACCTGCTCGAGGATGACTACATGATCATATATCCCATGAAGAATGCTGGAGTGACTCTTTATATCCCCTATATGCCATGATGATAAGGGGCACATGACTATCATACATCACATATCCCATATACATCCATATACGATCGTAGTATATTTTACGGTAAAACCATGTAAAACCAATATTAAACTATCCCAAAAGTCACCGTAAATTCATGGGTGGGATTGAAACCCCGCAGATGGTAGGCGCCCCCGCGCCATATCTCTCAGTTCCTCCACCGAGAGCTCCAAGCCGTGGCTGTGGACGGCACGGCTCAGATCCTGCATCCATTGGTTTCTGGAAGCGAACTACACCATTTTACATATCCATTTAAAATTTTACAGGAAGGTATCATCCTAAAAAAATGGAAAGGAAATGGTGATATCATGAAGACATTGTATGTGTATATATATATATGTGTGTATATATATATATAATATATATATATGTACGTGTGTGTGTGGGGGGTATAAAAACAATTACACATCCACAAGTTCTTGCTCAAATATTCGCAATTCCTCAGGTTTTCATGAAATACATGAGCAAAAAACAACGCAAGGGGTCCTCCATGTCGATGTGCCCCTTCCGATTCTCATCCAGCAAGCGCCAGGCGCGGCGGACGCTTTCCTGAGTTGGCTCAGCAGCTGACAGCAGGGGCGCAATGGCGTCGATGAATCCTTCCGGGGCGGAGTTGGTCACCAGGTCTCACCATCACTGGATTGGTTAGGAAAATCTGCAGGAAATTGGTTGGGAACAATAATCTTTTTCAGCAGTGATAGGGGGTTCCTGAAATATCTTTTTTATGGCCCCAACATCCAATTCTGCGTCACCAGCAAGTCTCATCCAGTCTCCAGGGAAAAAAAACAACCTGGTAGAAAGAAAGGTCCTTGGTTGAGCAATCTAAAAGTAGCTACTGTAAGTAGCTGGGATTCTTCAATCAAAAGTAGCTGACATCTCGAAGCTTCGCTGCCATGGCACCCCAAGAACCAGTCCCCAGTGGGTGCCATCCCCAAAATACCAGCTGCGCAGGCAGCGCCCGAATATCTTGGTTCAGTTTCTCACATGTTCCCCATTGGAATGATCAAGATTTTTCTCACCTGGCCAAAATCCGCTCCGATTTTCACTCCTGAAAAATCCATCTTGTGACCTTTCCGCCGGCAGGTGCGAAGAGCCACCATTAACGGCTCCTGCTCCAACCTCCAAGGCATAGCCGGGCATAGCCGGATAGCGACAAAGGGGGGGCCCATGGCCATCCATGGCCCAATGGTTCGATGTCACTTTCCATAACCATCCAAAGTGGGCATGTTGGTCTTCAAGCCATACATGCCAGATGTATTTTTGTAAATAAATCATCGAAACCAAACCCACATAAGGGATGATACTCATCCTACCATCACCTACCTTGAATGCTGGGATTCTGCAGGTGGTGTTACAGTCATGGCTGAATCCACAAACTGTTTGCCACCTGTCACCGGTAAGAAGTGGCAACACAGCCCCCCAACAAGTTTTTATGTTTTGTCCGCAAATGTTTGATGATCAACCCGTGAGGCATACCACTGAATGCCCACAAAGTGCGTTGGAACAACATGCGACTTTTTTTTTGTGAAAACCAGCGTGCCGAAAAAAGGGCCCACTGATGCCTGTCCCATCCGAGGTTTTCCATGCTGTCAATGCAATCCTGGTCAGGATCCCCCCGGTGTCAAGCGGAGGCGTGTGCATTTTATCTACTGGGGCCATGAATCCAAGCCACAAACCACCAACTTTCTGTGAAAATGATGGGTGTGAACTCCCAAACTAACTCATGCCCCACTGACATGGAACGCAAAATCATCGGATGGGAACCCTCTCCGTCTCAAAGCCTCCAAATTGATCTTGCCTTTGCCTCAAGCTGACAATGTTGAACTGCTCAACACATGGGACATCGTGGGGTTCGACAAAGCCGCGTAGCGATGGCCATTGCTGTTCTGAAAGTGCAAGAGGCAAAATCATGGACCAAAGTCTTGACTTTCCACAAGTTTGCATCTTGAAAGTGATGTGCCTCGTCCAAGATTACCTTCCGATCAATCACAGCTCTCTGGGTAATCCCCACCGTCCGAGTCGATGAGATCAAAGGCTGCTTTCATCTCCTTGACCTCGGCCTGTCATGGCATGAAGCAGTTAGGAGAATCCACCCTGTTTAAAGTGGAGATGCTCTGTAATAGGCATCTTTATTATGGAAATTACTATTTATGACTACAGGTTTGTCAAAATCACAACAAAATAGTGACAAACTACTTGTCTAGCCATGAGTCTCCTGATATAGTATGACATAGCAACCCCTGAAACAGTGACAAAACTCAAACCTTTTCTGGTGATAAGTAAAGGTATAGTTTTTTGAAATGACTAGATCACCCTTTACGATCCACTCATGTTTTTTCAGGTCGTGTCAACCCTGACAGATTATCTTCACCATGGCAATGATGTGCCACCGTCATGGGACGTCATGGGTAACTGTGGGGTATGGTCATCCATCACATACAGTAATTAGAGCATACAAATTTATTGGTTCATTTATTAATTTGTTTATTTATCTATTTATTTATCTATTTATTTTTTATTTGATCTATCAAACCCCACGGATGTAGTTAAATCGGGGGATGACCATCATTTGTAATGGCAAAGTGCTACACCCTCAGTTTCCTGCCTCCGTAACACCAGGTCGAACATAGTCCTGGTGACACTGTTGTTTTTTTGGTTAGTTATTATGCCTGTTTTTTTCCTCTTAATTTTACCGCATTTCTTGAAGGTTGCCAAACACAAATCCATCTGCATTTACATTCAGCTAAGCCATCCAATCAACGATGAAACTTATCCATTGCACCAATGTAACAGGGCAGGATGCAGATTCACCAGGTCGGTTCACAGCTGTCCTGGGGATCGAAATCATGTACAACTTCCTCAGCTTTCCTGGGCCAAGAACATTATCACCACAATTTTCACCATCAACTCAACCATCAAATTACTTTTATCCTGTTCAGCTGAGCATTCTCTCTGGATTGTTTTCTGCCCATCGTCCTTGCAACATTGGAGAAAAAATCCAGCGAAGCACACAGTCAAGATTCGCAATGACCGCTTCCAATTCATCAGCTTGCCTTGGTCACCCATGCCATGGTCACCCATGCCATGGAAAATGGTGCCGTGGTGGCAATGTTTCGACAACAACCCACATCCACTGATTAGATCATAATATCACCATTAAAATTCAATCGAAGCGTCCTACTTGCGGTTGCAATTTTAATTGTTTGATCATATACCTCTTTTTGCGTGTGAGGAAAAGGCGGCAACTCAAGCACTCGACAAGAAAACGACAAGTTGCCAGCATTGGCTAAACAACCGTTCAATTTTCCTAACCCTGCACTTGAAGATTGCCAACCAAACAACACAACCACCATGCCGCCGTCGACATGAACTTCCTCCAGGTTCCCATTGCTCAGGGAATCACACAGGCGCAAGGATCGTGCGACCACCTCCCCTTCTCGCCTCAGGATTTCAATACCAAGCAAGTGTCCACCCATCTCGACCGGGTCTCTTTTAAAATCATTTGTGGTCCTGCGGAAATCAAACATGTGCGGGAAATCCTTATCCAAAATATGTATTGTTATTTACGCATGGGAAAATCATCAAACCAAATATCTAGGTGGTTTCCAGCCTGCACCATGTTTGATGACCAGAGGATATTTTTTTTCGCCTTTCCACAAGTTCAGCCCCGGACTGGGAATAGTTCCTGGCTATCTGTCATAGCACGAAGGATGACAATATTTTGAACAATATCGTCACGACTTTGCACAACACAGAGGTTGGCAAAACAAAAGCAATTTCAAAAAAATTGACATGATCAATAAAGTTGAGAAACCGTGTTTCAAATATATAATTGATTTGACGATGGTGGAAAAAGTGGAAAACCACAAAATAACTGCAGTTGTCAAAACTCGGCAGACTCAGCATGGTATTGTTTAATACATGAACCACGTTTGCTTGCAGAAACAACATCACACTGGCGAGCCAAAACGCGGTGGTTCGGAAATGGCAAGGGCACAGGACATGGCACAAACCCGAAGTTCCCGAAGACACCAAATGCATTATCATTCAATCTGTGTTTGTGAAATTTCCCGCTAAGCCGCCGTCTTGTCACACCACTTTAAGGTGGCTCAGCAACCAAGATGCAGAGGAATCGGCACAATTTATATAAGACTTGTCCGCATGCAAACCATTGACATACGCAATGCACCGCGAAAGGCGCAAGAACCCTCATGTATCACGGCTACTTTCCCAAGCGAACTGTGGAAATTACAAAATTCCAAACCCTTTAAAACATCTTCAAAAATCTGAATCATCGCTGAGCCATAGCAAGCCTGCCTGGTTTTGCCGCTTCCCAACAATGACACACGACTAAAGTTTCAACGAACGGCTGGTACAACGAAACAACCCGTACTACCTGCCAAAACATTCACTTCACTAAAAACATGCAAATACAAGTGCAAAACACTGACAATGGCATGATAACAATGATTGCCGATTGCCCCAACAACCATGACAACACAAGGATATGAACAAATCATTGGTCGTACAACCATGCAGGATACCTGGTGAAATTCCACACTTCAAAAACGAAATGGGAAATAACTGATCATCCCAACGCCAAGAGACTGTCGTGTTTCCCCTCAACAACTCGACAATTTCAACCGCAACGCACACGACATCACAGAAACATACTAATATTTACCGTTCAAATTTCAAAAACGTGAAGTCAATGGACAAAAACGGCAAGGAGAAAGTCAGCTCACGGTGATCCAAACAAGCAATGCAAAGAAGCAAACAAAAAAATCGACCCACAAGCACGGGGACAACAAGAGCAGCAGGGACCAACAACCACGTATATTGGCACAGAGAAAGCTACTTGTGGAAAAGGGCTCACAATGTTCCAAGGACGGAAGCATATGTGTCACAACAAAACGACAATCGTCCAGACGTGACAAGATTTTTTTACCAGCAAGACAAACCTTCATCAAGCCGAGAGAACAAGAAAGAGGACGCAGGTACGCACATCAGTGGACAAAGGAAAAAATTGAGAGGAATGCTGGAAACACGAAAATTGGGAAAGAGTGCTGTAGTTCGTTTAACATGAAAACCGTTTGCTTTTTGTTTCTCAGCCAATGCGGCGGTAGTTCACTGAGCGTGGTTTCCTATCTATCTATCTATCTATCTATCCATCCATCCATCCATCCATGGATGTATGTATGTATGTGTGTGTGTATGTGTGTATGTATGTGTGTATGTATGTATGTACGTATGTATGTATGTATGCATGCATGTATGTATGTATGTATGTGTGTGTGTATGCGTGTATGTATGTTTATTGTCTTCACTATCGCACACTCAAATGGAACGGCATGCAGCAGTTTTTTTGACACGTTGGGGACTTCGCTCGCCTGCACGGTGGGTAGGCCAAAATGAGTGGATTCACTCTGCCAGATCACCTTCAAATGAATTGAGCTATGGTTATAGGCAGCATCACAGGTCAAGATCTAACCAGGGAAAACATTGATGATGGCGCCACTGCAAGTAGATGGAGGGCTGAAGTTGGCACAAGAGGCGCAGCTTGTGGATCTTGACCTGGGTGATGGCCGAACGCAACTGATGAGTAATGTTGCGTAACATAGGAGGTACTCCATAGATATTGAGGTCGAGAAGGTCATCTTCGGCATCACTAAGCTCGTACAGGCATTTTTCCATCTCTTGTTGAACACGCTCTATTGCGATGATAGGTGCCAACAACTGCTGGATGGATCGTGGAGCTGGTACAACAGCGAGATGCATGGCTGGATCGAAAATTTGGATGAAGAGAAGTACATGGAACATGAAGGAAATAATCCTGCAATGGGTACATGATATGATGAAATAAGGGTGGGAGGTGGGATCGAAGAATTTCTGGAAAATTGAGCTGATAACAGCTATAGAATAAATAATAAAGATTGCAATCCGTGAGCATGCACAAAGTGACATCCAAGAGTGTGACAACTGTACATTACAGTTTCTTCTAGTGTTGTCAATAAAGCCTTATCCCTACGGGAGAAGAACCTTATTGTCTTCACTATCGCACACTCAAATGGAACGGCATGCAGCAGTCTTTTTGACACGTTGGGGACTTCGCTCGCCTTCCCCCACTTCTAGGAGCGGACACGTCGTCCACGTTGGTACATCGTTAAGTCAGGCATTCATTTGGAGTTTGGACTGGTTGTCTTTCTGATTAATATTTCATCCACCGTAGCATCGACATCGATGTCAATTCGAAGGGTCACATCGAACCTTTCGAGCAGCCCTCTGGATGGCAGGTCTGCAATGTTGGCTGCAGATGGAACTCTTTCATACCAAACAATAGAGCGAAGAGATTGTTCCCATTCCAGGATTCCTTGAATTTTTTTGGCCATCAAGACCAAGGCCACTCTTTCCGGAAATGATTCTCCCAAGCGCACCATCATTGTCCAGGAAGACCACTACTCTGTCTGTAAGGTTTACCGCCGCTGAATGCAGTAGAAGTGTAGTTCCAATCAATGCTGCTAAAGTTTCGAGTTCGAAAATGATGGTATCCTTTCCCAGGGGATTCAACTGAGTGGCCTGGGCCTTCGTCACAGGAGCCGAAAAATAGGAAAGCATCTCCCCAAGCTCATTGTAGAGAACGCCACCAAGGCCACCTTGGCCGTTTTCATAGCAAGCATCAGTATAAAGATGGAACACTTTGCCCACTCCAGAATCCACTGTACGAGGTCCTCCTTTCACAACGCGGTCTCTAAGGAACATCAGACTCATCTTGAGTTCGTCATCGATTGGTGCTGCACCAACCGCATGCTCCCACCGACTGACGTTCTGCATGTGAAGCCCTGACAAGCGGCCAAATATTTGGCTTTCTGCAAAGACTAAGCGACCCCGAAGTACCCTAACTCTGCCGCCATCCTAGGATTTGGAACAGGAGTCGTTGTGCCATGTCAACATGGCGCTCCTCAAGCTCTGAGGCCACCAGGAAGTAGTCATCAAATAAGACAGTCCAGAGAAGCCCGAAGATGCTAACGCCAACGCGCCAAAGAGCATAGGACGTCCTACAGAAACCCATAACTGCCGCTCTCGCCCCAAAGGGCAGCACAAGCGTCTGAAATGCCTCAGGTTTGCCCGTCTCAGGGTTCATGACACAAGGATATGCGTCTCCAAGGGCTTCAGCAGCCAGCGGAAGGTTCTTGTAGGCTTTTCGCAGGTCAATCGTCTTTCCAGTGAGTTTTTCATGCCCCCATGCGCGATCTCTATATACCATCGTTGCAAGGATGGAGTCCGCGGCCATTGGTTGGATCGACTCCGCACAGGAGTTTGTAGAGTTCACCAAACTTTCTGAGAAATCATCGGTTGGCCTCACCTTCATTGTACGGTTTCCGTCCGACAAGGTGGACGACTGCTTCACCCCAAACCTTCTGGTTAAGATTGCCTCCTTGGGGAGATCTTGAGGTGCAAATGGGCGTCGTAGCCAGCCCTTGTCTCTCTCTTCAAGCGTGATGCGATACACCTCGGCAGCAATCTCTGGATCCACGATCTTTTTGGCGGCTTCCCAAATTGCTGGCCTGGCCAAATCAGCCATGCCCCTGACTTGCTCTGGCAAGAGCGTGGCATAGGATGGTTTGACTGGGTAAATTGAACCAGTCGGTATGTTGCCCATCAGGTTGAAGCCCTGGGCAATGTCTTTTGCCAGTCCAAGGTCTGGAGATTCAAAGGCACTAATCATCTCTTCAAACAGTCTCAAGTTTTTCTTGGCCAGGATGACCTTGGCATGGTAGGGCGAATCATCTTTACCGTCCTCCATGCTCTTCGTCAGTTCAGTGGCCTTGGTTATCCATTTCCTCATCTGTTCAGACCGCTCTCTGGCTCTGCACGAAGGCGATTTGTTGGCTCCACTGTCGGACATGTTCTTGAGGACCGGGTGCACACCGTCAAGGAAATGGCCAGGGTGTGATCGCCCTGCCGCTCTTTCAACGAATGCTTGTGGGGCCCACGAAATTCCATAGACCGTCTCCCACCTGTCAAACTCCGCTTTCTCCCCAACTTGATAGGGAAGTTTGATGCGCTTAGCCTGAGCTGGAATGTGAGAACTGGATGGCGAAGTTGTGCAAGTGGTGGGCAGAAACCACGGGAGCATTTGGTAGGGAGTTCGCCCAGGATGGACCGAGATCCTTGTATGGTGAGGAAGTATTCGTATTCTCGCATGAAAAGTTTGAGTTTCTTGCCCCAAGGTTGTGTTCCAGTGGCCACTTTGCTGGCTTGCACAAGAGAGATATCACTGTTGAGAGTAAGTTCCTGGGGTGACTCGATGGCACCAAGGGCAAGAAAGCATCTGCAAACACAATTGGCCCAGGCCTGACAAAGCTGATGGGGATATTCCACTTCGGCTGCAGTTGCCCAACCGCCGGAAGGTGTGATTCCCCAGGCATCATGTGGGTGATTGCCTTCACATTCGAGGCCCAGGGGGGCCAGGCAGTTGTGGTTGCAAAGAACTCTGGTACGTTTCCTCCGTGTTGCCCCATACACGCAGTGATGGAACTCAACGGAGTAGAGCTGCATGCCTTGGAGGTGCTTCTTCATGTGCGAGGTCTCTCAAACATGACTTCGGAGTGGTTTTCGATGGAAGCAATGATGCCATTGGCTGTGGCCCACTCCATGACTTGGCTGCATAGTAGATATAGGCAATTGGCTGCGCGGACTTTCTCCAATGATGCTCCTGTCAATGTAGGCAGTCCATCTGGGTGTGTCGTGGAACGCAGTGGTGGCGGGTTGTACCGCCGTTTGTGCTTGATTTCCCTGGCTCGGCTCGAAGCCGCAAGGAAGACCCATATGCACTGCGACAACGTTGTCATTGCGTAAAATACGCCATAAAACAGCTTGGCCAGCTTCTTCTGCAAGGTTGATTTGTATGACAGGAGACTTGACTTGTTTGGTGACAGGGGCATCGATGCCTATGGATTGTGCCAGTCCCATTCTCCTGACCGCTGCTGTCAGACCACCTGTACCGGAAAATATCTCAATTGTAAAGAGCCTGGACAACGGCTTGCCAGATATCTGGGCTGCAAGCTTGGCTTGAAAACCATCTGTACTCAAAATTGGATTGGGAACACTTCGGCCACCAAAAGATTGCAATGAAGCACCTGCACTTACAGAAGTAACCTGCTGCGATGGTTGTTTCTGGGCAGAATTCATACGTTGCTTCGGCATTGTAGACCCCATAGCCTGCCCCTCAGCAGGACGTTTGTAGCAGCATGCCGAGGACTAGCTGGAGCTAGTCATGCACTAGGTTTGGAAGGGCACTCGTATGCTGGATGGGTCCCCAGGCATCGCATGCAATAGTGGCCACCCTTCATGCAGTCCTTTCCTGCTTCTGCATAGGCACACCCTTTGTCGAGGTTGAAATTGTAGCATATCCTCTTGCCATTTTTGAGGTTCTGGTGTAACCCCACTAACTCTTGAGGCATTCGACCACGGGCAGTTTTTCCCGGGCCTTTGCCCTTGCCCTTGCCACCCTTCGAGGTCTTGTTGGATGGCTGATCCTTTTTCGGGGGTTGCTTGGGGCCACCCGGCTTGTCATGATTCTTGTCCGGCTTTGTGTTGGTCTGCATGGGCAGTGGCGCCATGTGAAACACCACAGTGGGGTCAGTTCTCAAAGCATCCAGGGCCACGTCAAGTGGCAGAACTCCGTCAGCTCGGCGCTTCAAAGAGGACACCCCTTCTGCCATGCGAACCCCAGCGGCTCGGTCAGCCCTGAGAATCTGCTCTGTTGTGGGCGCCTTGTATCCGCCAGGGGCTGAAACTTGTGTTGCGTCCATCAAAAAGCGATGCCATCGCTCCATGGTCTTGAAGGAGCACACACCCATGAGGTCACATGCCAAAGACCTCCTCGTTAATGCTTGGAAAATTTGGAGGTCATTGGAAAGGGTGCATCGGTCTTTTCGCTCAGAGTCTTTCACCATCAATTGGGAATGATCCAAAATGAACTCTTTGCCCGGTTTTTTCTTTTGACACTTCAGAGGACCTTGTTGTGAAACGATGTGGTTCCAGGTAGCGAGGGACATTTGCTTCGATCATTTTGGCAACGTAATCGTATGATTGGTGAGAGCACTCTCTCTAATGAGCCAGGTAGTTCCAGGCCTGAAAGTCTGGCACGTTGTTCCTCAATTCTCTAGGCTCGTTCTGCTGAAACTAATTCAGCTTTGCGGGTGGCCTCTGTACCAGCGAGAATGTGTTTGACCTGTGCTGCACAAAGTGTTTGTGCGTCAAACATGAGCCTGCGGATTGAGGCCAGCTGTCGAACTGTGACCATATCGGGGTCATCGTGGAGAAATGTCTTGAGTGATTCGTCGTCAGGACTCGGCGTGGAAATTGCAAAAGCAAACTTGGACAAGTTGTTGAGGCCCTTGAGTTTCAGACGCCCAAGCTGACCTTCTGTCAATCCATGTTCCAGGGCCCTTGCATCAAATGACGCAGTGGACTCCAGGATGGTTGCCATGTCTGTTGGATTGATCTAGGCAAAGAGATAAAAGTTACGTCATGTTAAGATGATACACTGAGTTTTTTCCTTTCACATGTGGTTTGATTATCGACATTCGAAACCCTGGACTGAAAACCGTTTTTTTGGGCTTAGAGCACGAAAAAGGCAGTGACGGCCAATTGCCTGCACATCGCAGGTTGCACATGATGCCAAGCTTGAGTGGAGTGACACTGCTCCAACTTGTTTGTGAGTTTTTCAATGAATGAATCTGAAACGTTGTTTTTCCATCGCGTCTTGGCTCACTGGCGTCTGGCCCTTCTGACCACTGCATCTATGTTTTCAAGATCTTGATCGACCGATCTGCTCTCGGTTCTGATTCGGCACTGTTGACACTTCACCGGGCCTACAATCAAACAATTGGGGTATGGCCTGTATTCAGCCGTCACTTGGCGCCCACACAAGAACGAAGTTCCAAAGAGTGAAGCCGAGTGCACCACCTTTGTCTTTCGATGCTGATAATAATTTGTAACGTAAATGTAAATGCAAATGTAAATGTAAATATACATGCAAATGCAAGTGCGAAGGTAGATGTAAATGTAAATGTAAATGTAAAGGTAAAGGTACATGTAAATGTAAAAGTGAATGTGAATTTGACTCTGTATGTGAAGGTAAAGTAAATCCAAGTGTAAATGTAAATGTAGAATGTAATGTAATGTAATGTAATGTAATCTAATCTAATCTAATCTAATGTAATGTAATGTAGTGTGTGGAAGTGCATGTGTGTATGTATGGGTGCATGTTTGTAGGTATGCCAGGGGAGGTTGGCTGAGCCGGGGTGGGGCGTTATACGGGGCATCGGGCACTATGAAACCAGTTGCGGAGCCACGCGCAACTGAGTTCGGGAGTGGGACAAAGTACGGTGGTGAAGAAAGGAACGGCTGTGCTACATCGCTGTATGCGGAAGGGCCTGCGCGTCGCGGAAAGCGACTTTGCGCATGGCCCCTGCTGCGCCCACCTGCTCGGTGACCGGTTGTTTTTTAGAGCACACTGGCCACCTTTGTTGCAAGTACGTTATAAGCTATTGTAAACCTTGTTCGGTTGTTTAGTTTTTAGGCGATTTTTTGACGCAATTCTAATCGAGTTATGGGAGTTGGGAGGTTGTGGAGTTCGTGTGTCTTTGATCTGATTTGTATAGTTAAGTTGCCAAAACATTTTTTTGTGAACTTATAGGTAACTCAGCAAAGGTAATTTGCGCACATATTGGAAATTCACTACGTTGTCTTTGTTTCATATTTCTCTGTTTGAAACGAATGACGGGAAGAATGGTGACGAAAACATAACGAACAGGGGGAAGATGGCGACGAAGAAAAGAGAGGGGCGATAGAGGGGAAACCTTGGACCCACAGACTAAAACCATGACTTAAACGCTCCAAATCAGGCACGTTGCCAGCCACCTCAAGCAAAAGGAAAAGTAGTTTGCACAGCAAGCGGAGAACGCTGCTACCTTTCGTGACAAGCAATGGACTTGACAATGGACGGGACTCACAAACTTTGAGGAAGACACATGGCACGAGCATGAGGAGTCTGTTGAGGATGATGCAGAAAATTTTCAACCAACAGGAAAAGCAAGAGCCATACCTACACCGAAACAACCAACGCAACAACAAAGAATGGAGCACAATCTGGCACAGCTGCTATACAGCACATGGCGTCCGATATGCACAAAAAAGGGCACAGCATACAATCACCCACATCAACAACAACACGGCAAGCAGCTGGTACCAGCAGACTTCACATGCACTCAGGCACATGACGGCAAGCAAATCGTCCCGGTGCTGACAGCAATCCACGTTGAGACAAACATGGCCATATGGCAATACAACAACAAAACAACTCACAACACTTTCTGTACTTGGCGCAATGCCTGCAAGAATGTGTGTTCGATTCGGTAAAGCACAAGCAATACTCAGCCCAACAACCTTCCACCCAGATCAGGAAAACTATCCGATACAATTGCTGAAAACCACAGAACCAGCAATGAGTTGAAACATAGTGGTGACACAATCACGAAACGCGTCACAATCACACGGCAGCCCGGTGATTCCACATGGCCCTGGTTGGATAAATGAAGGCGCTGAGCCAATAGGTCAATAGGTGTCAACAAACGAACAACGATATACAGATATACATGATATACACATCAAAAACAAGCATCCAATCCTGCCATGGATTCTACGACATGCAACATATTTCCTCCATCAACGCGATACCATTTCCCAACATTCAGAGCCTCACCGAGGTTCTACAACAGCATTTGGCTCATACGGCACACATGACGAACGAGTCCATCATCGGGATGTCCAGGCATATCATCGGGGTTAAGACAATAACACGACAAGTATACTACCGTGCGAAATACAACAAATACCTGACGGTTGTTGTCAACGCATACCCGTTGACAAGTGCAACACCAGCACCAGCAATCCAGCTAGGAACATTGCCACCTGCAAATCCCAAGTCAACAAACTATACAATTGCGGCCAAGTCTACGGTTGGACAAAAAGCAACAAGCACACAAACTTGCCACGACCACCACCACAGATTCCGAGTCAACTAATGGGCCCACAGGCGGTGGTACCCACACCACACAGCAGCAACATCACCAATGGCGACATTTTTTTTTTCGCCCGTCCGGGTCAATGACTACGGTCCTTCAGGACAAGAAACAAATTTGCAAACTATTTACAACGGACATTTATTTTGGCACAATTGTACAAATGGTGTGTCCAAAGGAAAACAATTGCAACATCACCACCATCAATTCAACGATCAGCATTGCCAATGCAAGTACAACCACCTCCACACAAAGCATCATCAGAGAAAACAAAAAACAACACCAAAAGCAGAAACAAAACAACAAATTGCGGTTTGCAACGGGCAATCTCGGCCAGGATGCATATTTTGAAGGCTGTTGCGCAGCGCAAATTGTAATACATGTTTATTCGGGGCGCGGCATGTTTTTTTCACCGCCGAATTTCCCCATGATTGTCGTGGACACATTTGGCAACAGCATGTTTTTGTTCCAAGTCGCCCAATTTGCTTCCAGCGGTGTGTGTTCGTAGCGTTGGTGCCATGACGCGTCAAGGACTGGAATTTCGCAGTGTTGGTGGCGCGACGCATGTATGACCGGAGTTAGGTAGGCGTTTGGATGTGAAAGCAGTCTGGTGTAGCTGAAACGTTGCTGACATGTTAACATTGAATGTGTTCGTCCAACGCGATATGTGCCTGGCAGTTTCTGGCAAGGTGTTTGCCGGCGATCCAGCATGAATAACCACGTGCCTTGAACAAGTAACTTTGGAAACGTTTTTTTGGTGTAAGCGTGAAGAAGGGATGCGCAATGTTAGAAGACGGAATGCGTGGTTGGCAAAGACATTGCCTGCGTATGGTTGCACAATGTTGGACCATCCGAGATCCACGGTTTTTGACCTTTTTCGTCAGTGACCATTTTTTGTTCAAAACGATATTTTTTGGGCAAAACGACCCAAAAGGGCAAAACGACCCAAAACGCATTTTTTACGCCAAGAGGAGTCGGTGCCAGATACTTGGCATGATGCAATGGCCGAACTAAATGCAATTTTTTTTGGCAAACGGGATCATGTGACACAAACTCAGTAAACCCATGCTCCCTAGAGCTATCAACAGGTATGAATGAGATTCAATGAACCATTTTGCAAAGTAGACGTGGACACGTCGAGGCAGAAATAGTTGGATAAGTTGTAACCTGCATTTTTGGGGAACAAACTGCATCACCAAAAACATGCACAACCCTATCAAAAAGGCGCAAAAACCGTCAAAAAGGCGTAAATTGGGATTTCTGCCTTGACGTGTTTTGGTGACACGGTGCTGTGGTGCCACTTTCGGCTCGATAATGGTCAGGAAACCGTTGTCGATTCCTTGAAATTTTGAAACCCAACCATTGGACTTGCAAACACAGCCAAAGAGTGATTTGTTTGATTAACATGCTGGCACTGAAAAAAATCCAGTGATGAAACTTGCATTTTTTTTGGAAACACGCGGCAGAAATCTCCCAAACAAGGCAGAAAAGAGTGCAAATGCGGCATATTTGTTCTCGTATGAAAACGACCCAAAAGGCGAAAGGTACTTTTTTTTTGCGGTTTCAAAATTTGTTTAAATAACACATGTTTTTTCATCGATGCCAGCAACTGAGTAATTTTTCGTGCTACCTGGCAATCAGGACGTGCACACGGTATAAAATTTTACATCGCGGAAGGCTTGCAGGAACGCAGCGAAACATCATTGCAATTGAACATGTTGTTCGCGGCACCTCACGCCTGCATCGCGGATCTTTTTGTGGATAGGTTGAAGCATTTCGATTAAGTGATGGGGAAAGGCAATACTCAATGAAAAAATTTGATGTTGCAGCCTTGACGTCTGGAAATTTTAGTGCCAACTTTCCTCCCGCTGAAGCGGCGTAACAATACCGGAAAAAATTGTCATCGTCGACAGCGTGAATTTGCGGCCTCAATTGAAACGAACATTGATTCCATGCGTCCTTTTCCCACC